TTTCAAATAAGACTGCTTGATCTCTGGGGCCTAGTGAGATGGGTAAACTCTCGGATATGTAGCAATTGGTCGGCGAGGCATAAATTGGTAGTTGGTGGGACGTTAAACCCGGAACCGGAGCCGGGGCGAGTGCGGGGGCGTGGTAACGTAACAGGCGATCGGGGAAACACTTAGTCTTTTATATGGCCGCAGTTTCAGACAACTTTTAAACGGAAATAAAACCGCTTTTTTGGGTTCCATAATGTTTATATTGTTTCTTTATTTTCAATATATTTATTCTTGCGTCGACCAAAAACAGTCGTTTTGCAATGGATAAGGGAAATGACAAAACTTGTCATTATTATTTTAAAACTGCGACATGACCTTAAAATAATAATGATGAATAGTATTTTTTTTATACTTTGTGTACGGCTCCCGATTACTTTATTTTAGTTTATCTGATTCGATTCAAGATATTCATAGACGTTAAAACTTCGTTAAACGTAACTATAAAACAGACCACAGTACATTTATGAAAATGTAATTTATGTTAAAAGGAACAGTAATTTCTTTATGAAAAATAGTGACAGACATAACATTAACACGAGGAATAGAAATAAACTAGCTTTTCTTGATAGTCGTCTTCACAAAGTCAAAAAATCATTTAAGGGGCAATGTACACGCTTCTATAACAAGATTCCGGTTGATATACAAAATTTGCCTTTCACGAGGTTTAAAACTATAGTGAAACAAAAACTTTACACTAAAGGTTATTATACAATTTCTGCGTACTTGGATGACAAAAATCCGTGGTAGTAACCCGTTTAGCTCATGGAGGTAGTCTCGATCTCTGATGTTTCAAATAAAAAAAATATTGTAAATGTTATTTACAAAGAGCAACCCCTAGAGTTTCTTGCTCATTCTTTTCAGGGGAATCTGCCTTACGAATGAGCGGTAGCGTTTAACCATTGTGACGATTTCAAGTGTAATAATGCTTACCTATGAAATAAGGATTATTTTGATTCTGATTTTTGATTTTGACCATTGCTACCATTCCACTCCATCTAGATCTTACATCAGGGGCCGCACCATGAACTCTTATTACAGTTCAGTAGAGTATAGGTTCGTAACGACAAAAAAGCGGGATGGTGAAATACACTTCATGTAGCGCTGTCTCACAACGATTCATTATAGGTCCCAAACTGAATCGTAATAAGAGTTCATGGTAAGACCCCAGTAAGGTGTTCTGAAATGTTCTTTCGAATCGACAAGGGAAGGTTCATAACTCTTGACGACAAACTCCCACTATTGTGAACAAGCGAGTGATACAATTTTAATTTCAATTAAATGACAATGACATATTTTAACTACCTGGTACTCGCGACGTCGTCTGCTTAGAATAAGTGCTTCGAGTAGCCTGCTTACTACTACTTACTTCAGAAATGAGCGATTCTCCATACAAACTTTCATCCGATATTTCACCCCCTTTTTGATTTATTTTTGTAACAAAAAGTAGCCTATGTCCTTCTTGTAGGTCCCTATACCAAAATCCATCAACTTCAACTGTCCTGATTTTTTTGTTCCAATGCAATAAAATTATCCTTGCATGAAACTAAGTCAATCATAAAAAATATTCAATTTTATTAATTTTGTATGAAAAATGTTTTATTAAATTTGACCAACTTCTGCTCTCCCGATTCCAATAGAATGAAATAATACTTAATAAAACTGAGTCAATCGGCACTAAAAAGAGAATAATCATTTTTAGGAAATGAAACTATTTTTCCGGATTTAAATCACGTAATATATTTGTTTTTACAACCAAACCAAACCACTATGCCAAAATTGTTTTCACAAAAAAAGGAATCACAATGCTTTCTAAGTCAGTTTTCCTGTATCTCCTATAGATTTGCATTTCCCCATTCTGCCCCAATGGTACTGTCCGACCGGCTAATCTGGCAATCTTTGGGGGAGACCTATGTCCAGCAGTGGATGTCTTCCGGCTGATATGATGATGATGAGCCAAAAAACACACTGTATAACTGTAATAAAAACCAATAAGATGATTGCGAAGTAAGTTCACCAAGATTCTCGTATAATACAGGCTGTATATTTTAAAGTGAGACATACTTATAGAGTGCGTTATATTCCTGATTCTGAACCCAAAAAAATAATAAACTAATGAACATAAACTCGCCTGCAAAATGGATATTTATTCTAATGTCGAATTAACTGAGATGGTGCGACTTTACGCAATAAGTGGTGATAGTGTGAGTCGAGCTATTGAAATGTTCCCAAATTGGAATTTACGCGGACGAGGTGAACAGTGTCGAAGTTCTTGCATGAGAGGATTATCTCAGCATTTTATACTGTGAGACAAAATGTGTTTGTGTTGATCAATTTAAAATGAATTTTACTATACCGTGCTAGACTATGCATTGTGGAAAACGGTGGACATTTTGAACACTTGCTCCGCATCACGTGAGTGTAAATAAACTGCAAATGACTAAAAAATCAATCTTGTAAATAATTTGATTTCACGTTTTTAACTACGCCAAAAACCTCAATTCTTATTAAATGATAACTTAATTATCTTTTTAGTACGTAAAACATTTCGATGCTAGTTCATAACTAAAAAATAATTAACATAAGCTAAACCGTAATCATTTCGATAACAGCTTTTTCATCATAACATAAATGAGTAGGTGAGAAAGAGATGTGAAATCATTGTTAATGTTGCTGTCTCACTCGGCGCTCGCTTGGTAGTATTCTCAATGCACTCGAAATCAAGCGTAAAGGGAATGTGGTTTATTCATATGTACACTCCAAAACAAATTTGTTGATTTATTTTTTGTTCTATCCCATATCCTAATTTTATTTTAGTCTATGTTAAGTTATAACATGATTTACTGTGACATGCATGAATATGTCTCACTTTCAAATATACAGCCTGTATTTAAATTAAAACATGCTCTATTGGCCCGCTGACAACGACTGCCAAATCATTTCTGAGCTAGATAGTTGCCCATTCTATGCCACTGAAGGATGGACTGCGTCGCTGTGGTTGAGTGACGTAGTCGCTATTGCCGACTCGAGCCTGCTCAGTTATATTTGGGCTGTTGGCCGTATTGCTAAAATGCTTCCTGAAATAAAATTATAAGAGTAGCTAAAATCATCATCTTGAAAAGATACGTCCGCAAGCTAGTTTGCTTCTCATGCCATCAACAATGCTCCGCACCACGTTCTCCTTTCTACATCCGTTCGAAACCATTACTCTGAAATAAGTAATACACGACCAAATCAAAAGAGAATATGAAGTATGAAGCTTCATTTACAAATGTAATGCAATATGCGTTGTTCTCAATCTCGAATCGTTTATAAATAGATAAAAGATAAGTATCGTGCGGAACTCAGCAGCAATACGTGTTCCACTGTCCTTTTTGGAAGCTCCGGCACGTTTACTTGTTTTTACGTCTGTTTCATGACTTTCTACTTTTACGCGCTGAAACCCCCAGCCCCGTGTTTTATCGGTTACTTTTATTAATTGACTACGGAAAGTACAAATTGAATGTTCTCCTTTACTGTTTACGCCTTGTTTATAGTCTAATCTAAGTTTGTTGGTTTCTTTAAAACTCTTTCAGATTGTCTTCGTCTTGTGATCTCGACTTTGTTTACCTACATACTCTGTAAAGATACTTGTTACTGTAATAATAATAATCGGCTAAGTTGGACCTGTCGTCCAAATTAAAAAAAGCCGTGACAATCAGAGCAACATCAATCGTTCACCACCATCTTAGCATGCAATAGTCAGGTGTTGTGTTATCTGCTCGGGCCACTCTACCTTTACCGTCATCCATTCAGGTGTACCATAAACACTCAAACAATAATAAAATGGAATATATTGAAAAAAATTGCATACATTCAATACATAAGCAATATTAACACGTTTGATCAAGATGTAATAGTATATTATTACGGAGGCCGGAAAGTAAGGGATTGCTGGATGAGTATGTACTTGTATTAATACTACGACGAATAATAAAAGACTAAAGAGAGGAAGATGTATAATAGAAAAAGTAAATAAATACTAATTAAAATTAAAAGTAATATTTTACATTATTTTTCAACGCTAATTAATAGTAGTCTGCTAAACTTCTGATGACGTAGTTGAATGTGTATCCATTACTGTATTTTGACTTTTGTCACTAGAACTAATTTTCGCGACGAAAATACAAGCAATCGAAAAAACAGAAAATAATACCAAAGCATAGTTTATTTTACCGCCTTTTTTAAGTAAACGGCACTGGTAGATATTTTTAATTCTCATAATTGCGAACACTTGGCAGTTGGCTGTATGAGTTTTTCTTCCGCCTGTTTACGCAATTCATTATTAGTAGATAGATTTAAAAGTTTAGAGTAGCGGGCAATCATGGTTTTTCATACTTACTTTGCAGGCCTTGCCCGGGCAGAAGTAGCACAGTCCATGAATGACGAACTTTGCGTGTTCGTTTTTTAAAAGTACCTATGCAAATACTTCCGAGCATGTTTGAGAAAATATCTCATTAACGATATATAGTATTGGTGGTGGTAGCCTAGTGGAACAACGGTTGCTTCACTATTAAGTGGGAGATAGTCGAAAAACGTTCACAACCCTTGGAAAACGTATTGAAGTACCAAACCATAACAAACACATTGATTCACAATATAATTATACAATGTTTAATATGATTGATATTATATAACAATGACATTAGAGTCATTTAAAACCTTTAAGGGTCTTTATAGGTCTTAAAGGACCCAGAAGTGAAACGTATAACAAGTTGACGACGATGATGAGTACGCCATTAAACGTTATATTAGATATCAAAGACTAACATTATTTTTACACACAATTGTTGTCAGTTTGTTTGTCTAGTTAGAAATAAGATTCAAACGATGTCACGGTGTCAATGACATCTTCTCAAACATTATAATGTAAACAAAGCAATAAATTTAATGCTAAGGCATAATCATGTCAACAGTACCGCCAAATATCCTGGATGAAGAAAGCACACAGTCAGCAGTGGCGGTGCGGGAGAATCAGAACATCAGCTTGGTGTGCAAGGCCGACGGGTTCCCCGCACCTAAGATCATGTGGCGCAGGGAGGATGGGCAGCCCATCTCAGTCGACAAAAGAAAGAAAGGTGAGTGATAAGTCTATTCAATACTAGAGGAGTTATTATGCCTTAGCTACCTCCGTGGCCCAGCATTTAACATGGTTAACACTTTTTGGAAAACGAAGTTTTATTGATTGGTCCTTGTCAAGGTGGTTTGGGTGATGTCTTGGAGTTATTTCACCGCTCTAGTACTCATAGTACAGGGAATTTATTTGTTTGGAATCGTGTTATTGATTATTACAGAAAGGCAAAATTTGAAATTGTTGATAAATGAATAAATATAGTCCATTAATTTCAAACTTAATGTAAATTATGTTCTTATAATGCTGGAAAAGCAAAAACAAGTAACAAAGTTAAAGCAACAAAGACAATGTTACTAAAACGTAAATTAAAAAGAACAAGCAAAAAGCATAAATTAGAAACGACAAAAAAATGTTTTCAATAATAACGGAATATCTACCGCGATTGAGTTCTAAGGTACAAATTGTTCAGAATGTAGAGATTAAAAATTCCCCGTGCGAACGTACTAACAGCAGTTTAGCTAGTAAAGCTTTATAATACGAGTTATAAGTTGTGCAAATTGCGGACTTAATACCCATTAGCATTCTCCGCTTAGTTCGGAATAAAAAAACATTGTTAACACCCCAGTATTAGCGCTGCAGTGTCGTTTTAATGTTGTTAATATTAATACTTCTATACTTCATAAGACTTTTATTGCTTTAGTGGAGTGTAAAAGCAGTGTTTGCCCTTTTCTATTAGATTTTTATCTTGCACAATAAAAAATAAGAAATCATTACATTGTTATAATGCATACTCACAAAAACAAAAGACATTGTGATAGAGAGATGTCCAAAACACAGTCTTTGTTATCGTAGTCACATGGTCCCATGAGGACGCAATGGGTTTAAGCTTTACTTGGCCATGTAGCTAACTAGTTCAATATGGGTTGCATCTGACGTTGGCTAGGTGCGCCAAGGTCGCTCCTGATAGGCTTCAGCAAGCCTTTTGAATTGGCTGAGGTTCCTGGTAAAACCCTGCACCCTCCACAATTAGAATAGGAGCTACGACGCCGAGTTGTTTTAACCAATAACATACCGTGCCATTCATGGTCCAACCAATCACAATTTAAAACATAAATTCTAATTAACATGTAGGCATGATCACATTTTCAAATTAATTGTGTGTGAAACTAGATTGAAAATTACATGGTGGTACAATTTGATGCAAAGTTGTGGGCAGGTGGGAAGGCTCCCAATTAGCACTCGACAAGACGGGACGAGCTCATGATTAGTTAATCACAGAACATGGCCTCACCGACCTTTAACGGTAACGTTGCCCCACAGTATGAACTGTGTAATATTGTATACGGTAAACGGAGTGAAGAGCTTTCAGCAACCGATAGTGTTTCTTTATTTTTACGTATCCGTACTACTTTTTCAAAATAACTGAATAGTATTATAGATTGGAAACACACAGCTCTTCACATTACTCAATACTTTTATTGCATACCAAAATGCCATATAAGATGGTAAATCCACTTGAAGTACAAGTACGTAAGAAAAACTATAATTCGGTTATACTTTTATAACAACATAAATGTATTTTTTCTGCTCTCCACTTTGATGGTTAATGGACATAATGGTGCTTTAAGTTGCTAAGATTTAGATAAAAGCCGAACCATGAATGTGATTGAAAAGCAAACATAGATGTTATATCTTAAAACATAGTGAATTTTGAATTATTTTATTTTCATAAATACAATACTCGGATTAGTGATAGTAGAAACTCTGACGGTTGGATGCAATGAAATAAAAATTAAAGTTAGAAAAGAAGACGTAACGTGACCTTAAGGGGATTTTGCTGCAGTAAACGCCAAAGATCGGCGAATTAACTCTAGGCCTGTTTCGCTATGTCGCTAGCGGCTTTTTGTTTTGCGGTTAACCCAAAGCACTTATGTAAAGCAGCAGCGGGTGTCCAATTATTTTTATTTATCTTTTACATCGCGCACAAGGTTCTTGAGCGTCCCGAGGGGTGCGAAGGATGAGGCACGTATTCTTGACACATTTTACTTTCGGCCAGGCTATTATTTCTCCCAGTTCATTATAATACTGAAAGCTCTTTTGCATAGCAAATTACATTTCCAAGCGCTCTGAATCACAAACAGGGATCTTCTCAGTCAATGAAATAAAACCACCACGGTGGAGAGTGTAAAGATATTAAACCATATTCATGATCCGAACCCATGTTAATACCGTGAGCGTAACCTCTCTCTTCAAGGGGATTAAAGCTCTTTACAAGAAAAAATCTGGTTTAAGGATAATTATGACCGGCAAAGCTGAGTCGTGCCGGCAAATTAAAAGGTTGGAGCACTCATTCGGGGGTTGAGGGGACGACAAAGGGGCCCAAAAATTGAGTTTAATTTTAAGAGTGATTTCCTTGTACCGGGAAAATTAACGTGTGGTCTGGAGAGCCACTTGGCGATAATTGTGTGTGACTCTCTCCGCCCTCGCGCCCTAGCCGCCGTCCCCTCGCTCGCCCTCGAACGTGTCATCGCATCTGCCAGGATTATTTGTGAAGGACATTCAACACGCATGTTTTAATTACGAACGAGAAAAAGTGATTTCGTTTTCAATTCGGCAGCTGTTAAGCTTTTGTTAGTATTAATGTGTCCGCAAATCCTGTTTTTGTTTGCCAATTTAATTGGAAGGTTACACCCAACCGTTACGCCGATACCTTCATCGTTCCCTTTAGACAGCCCACGGGATCCATTTTTATATGACACTTTAATATAATTATATGCACGTGGTGGTGAAACGTCCAATATGCCAAATTGGTTGATAACTATGGGAATGAAATTACCTCAATGTTCTTTAGAGCAGTGGTGGCTAATTGGGAGATCGGTAGTTTCTTTATTGAACGGTTTGAATCTCTGTTGCAATATTTTTTTAATGTTTCGTCAACAAATCATGCCCCTGATGGTAAATTACACGCCTGTCTATAACAGTTGCAATGCCACTCAGAGCTTTAAACCTCGAAGATCCGAGCGTCCCTCTGACACATAAGTTGACAAGTCCCATGTGTGTAATTTTACCAGCACCCTTACTTTTCAAAACCGGAACACTAATGCTGACAGTACTGCTTGGCGGCAGAAAAATAAGGTGGTACCTCCCTAGACGAACTCTCTCACAAGGAGCTGTACTGCTACTAACTGCTAGTAATTTCACAAAAATAGTTAAATATCGTCGTGTCCTGCCGTTCAATAAATTTAGAAAATGTAGCTTATTTTTTTTATTCAAATGAAACGGAATCTAATTAATTATTAAGACGTTTCGAGTTCATGAAAGATTCAGCAACAAGCTGCAGTTAGTCGGCGATCCGTTGTGGCGCGATGTGAAATTACCATTAAAAGCGCAGCGAGTGCAGTGGCACTAGTTTCTCTAATTGCTTAATATATTCGTGCGCAGAGCACTCCCATTACATTCATTGCGCTCTGCGAAAACGTTCCTTAATTGTAAATACAGGCAAACTCATTTGGCTACTTGATGGCGGTTCGCGGCACGCCGCGCACACCGACGGAATTTTTAATTTTTATGAGATTTTAAGGTAGATTGTTTAATGCCCACATGGGAGCACCCTCGTTACGGAAACTACCCTCCACTGCGACAATGTCATTCGCGTCGCGAAATTTGTTGCGGAAAATTAACATTTGATCGTTTGCAGTTCTACCATATTTCAAATAATCATCATCAAATCATATCAAAAATACCTTTATCGTATAGATAAGTAGCTTACTTATTATTACACCATATCTTCAACAATTTAATGACGCTGTAGTTGAAACTTCTATTATTTATTTTTAAAATATGATGTTACGCACTGTACCAAAACAAACTGCGCTTAGTAATTGTTATTAAACAACTATTAATAGGCACAAAAAACTTATTGTTTCTGTACCGGCACGCTATTATGGCCGTTTTGACAGATTACAATAGTGAGATCAAATCTCAATTCATTATCGAAAAAAATATAATGAAATGCGAGTAGCATCTCAATGTTTTTACATTTATTACTAGTATTGCAAATGGTAGCTGATTAAAAAGTTTTAATAAAACGAAAATAAAAATGTTTGCTTCATATTCACATCGCCAATTTGAAAATGCTTTGTTCTGCATTGAGCTTTGACGCGAGTTTGCCGGAGGTGGCAGTGTGCTGGCCAGCCATCCCATATGTGACGATCGTATTAGATTTCATTTTTTTAAATTTTAGTGTCGTAAAATTATACATTCCATAAATTTTACTGCACGTCTCTATTGACAACAATGTATAGCAATTAGCTCCTTCAACGTAGTTATGAATTAATTCGAAACTTGATGAGCGGACAAACGTCAAAACGGCCATCATAGCGTGCCAGTACTATAACGAAAGAAAGAACGAAACATTTATTAGGCTAACAAACACATAATAACAATTTAAATAAAACAATGAATTGGCCACTATTAATAAGAAAAAAAGACGATTTCAAACTCACATAAATCTTTATTTCACAGGTAAGCAAATTACACTTGAAATCTTCACATTTATTGAACACTACAACTCATTCGTAAAGCCGATGACTCTGAGAAGAGTTAGTAAGAAATTTTAGTCGTTGCACTTTTTAATGATAGAAATAATTTATTAAGTCAAGACAATTGAATAGTATCTTAAAATTATGTCACACTTATCACACGAGGAACATTTTAAGATAAGGTTGAACTTTAGCGCGCACCGTGTGTCTACCCCGTTCTCTGTCCGACATTCGTCCGAAGTCAAAGTGAAAGTCAAAGTCGAAGTCAAAGTCAAAGTCAAAGGCAAAGTCAAATATTATTTATTCCCTAAGTAAAATAAATTTACACTTGAAAACGTCACATTTAAGCTACTGCTCGTTCACTACGCTGACCTCCCTGAGAAAAACGAGCAAGAAACTCTAGGGATTGCTCTTTTCAAATAAACTTAAATGCTATGGAATACACTTTGAATCAAATTTGTGT